CTAGAGGATCCCCGGCTATTAATATTCTGGTTATAATGTTGAAGATGATGAAAAAATAAATTCCTATAAAGTTTCTAAGAAGGTTAATGTAGACGTAGATAGAGTAGTTAATCTTTTGTTAGTCACCGACAATTCTGGAGAAGGACACTATTGCTTGATCAAAAAAAATAGATCGATTAATGAATACGCAGAATAGCAGAAGTAACAAATTTTGCATCAGATGTCATAATAACTTTTACAGTGAAGAAAAATACGAAAACCATTTGAGCGACTGTATGAATAATTCTCCACTCCAAATGATCAAACCTTCGAAAGATTATATTGAGTTCGATGGAATTCAGAAAACTCAAAAACAGAGATATGTTTGTTATGCTGATTTTGAATCTGTTATTTATAAAATTGATAATGTGAGCCGTTCACCCAGCGAGTCATGGAACGAAAATTTTGGCAAACATGTGGCTTCTGCCTTCTGTGTAGTCGTTGTCGATTCCTTCACTAATACTATCTATGACATGAAAAGCTATATTGGCTACGACACAATTTTAAAGTTTAATGAATATATTCTAGAAGTATGTGAAAAACTCTTAAGCATCGCTGACATGAGAATGCAAAAATTGACCTTTGAAGAAGATGAGTCTTTCCATAGTTGTGAATCATGCCCCGCCTGTGGAAATAAGTTTTGCGGGGATAAAGTTAGAGATCACGATCATTGGACTGGATTATACAGGGGACCTCTTTGCAATGCATGTAACTTGTTGAAACGTAGAAATAATTTTATACCAGTATTCTTCCATAATCTAAAAGGATACGATTCTCATCTGATTATCAGTGATGACAAGTCGAGTGAATTACTAAAGGAGCGAGGTGTAGAAATTAAAAGCATCTCGGCTAACATTGAAAAGTTTATAAGTTTTAGCTATCATTTTCATGATAAAGATCGTAAAAAATATGAAATAAGATTCCTAGATAGTTTGGGATTCATGCCTTCCAGTTTGGACTATCTCAGTGGTAATTTAGAGGATGATGAATGCATTATCACAAAAAAGTATTACAATAACGAACATTTGTTCCATCTAATGAGGCGAAAAGGTGTCTACCCATATGATTTTATGGATTCCTTTAAAAAATATTCCAACACGGAACTTCCTCCGATTGAAGACTTCTATAACAGTTTATCCGGAGAAACAATCAGCAATGAGAGTTACGAATACGCTCAGCAAGTGTGGAAGGATATGAGTTGTCAAACTTTAGAAGACTACACTAGAACTTATATGATTAACGATGTGTTACTATTAGCAGATGTTTTTGAAACTTTTAGAAATGTGTCTCTCAAAGAATATAAGCTAGATCCGTGTTGGTACTATACATCTCCAGGATTAGCTTGGGATGCAATGCTATACAAGACTGGTGTTAAGTTACAGACTATCAAGGATGTTGAAATGTATAACTTAATTGAGAAAGGTATTCGAGGAGGTATGTGCAATGCTATGCTCAGATATTCTAAGGCAAATAACAAATACATGCCAAATTATAATCCCGAAGAGGAATCAAAATACTTACTCTATTTAGATGCAAATAACTTATATGGATGGGCGATGAGTCAAAAATTGCCTTATGATGAATTTGAATTTATAAATGCTGCAGATTTTAGTATGGAAATGATAGAAAATCTTAATTCTCAAGGAAAGGGATGTATACTTGAAGTTGATTTAGATTATCCCGATAGTCTACATGACAAACACAACGATTTACCATTTTGTTCAGAGAATAAACGAGTTGGAACTACCAATAAATTAATCAATGATTTTAGTCCAAAGAGAAATTATGTGATTCATTATAAAAACCTTTTGCAAGCTATTCAGCAGGGTTTGGTGTTAAAGAAAATTCATCGTGTAGTTACTTTCAAAGAAAGCAATTGGCTTGCCTCTTATATAGAACTAAATACCAACTTGAGAAAGAAAGAAGGGAACGAATTTGAGAAAGACTTTTTCAAGCTAATGAACAATTCTGTATTTGGTAAAACTATGGAGAACGTTAGACATAGAGTGGATGTTAAAGTAGTGACAGATATGGATAAAGTTATGAAACTGGCTGGTAGCAATAATTTCAAACAGAGACATATTGTGAACAACAATTTGATTTTAGTGGAAATGACTCAGAAAAGTATTAAATTAGACAAGCCTATTTATGTTGGGATGTCTATTCTTGATTTAAGTAAGTATCTCATGTACGAGTTTCACTACGATGTTATGCTTCCAAAATATTCTTCGAATTTGAGA